GGCAGGGAACCAGAGACCCTGTTGACAGCTCATTGGAATCTCATGGAAAATTTCAACAGGGAGTTCCCCTGGCCTTCCCTCCCTCTAGGAGCTGCAGGGACATGCGGAGCTGGGTCGGGAGCCTGCCAGCCCCACCAACCCTCCCTTTCCGAGCACCAGCAGGTGTCCAGGGCCACAGGCTGCCACCCACCTCCCCCCCAGCACCAGTGGGGTCCCAGACCACCCCCAGCACTTGTAGTGCCTCCAGACCACCCCTGGCCCCGGTTTTAGTCAGGGGTATATAGTACAAATCATGGACAGGTCACGGGCAGTGAATTTTTCTTTACTGCCCCTGACCTGTACATGACTTTTACTAAAAATACCCATAACTAAAACGTAGCCTCAGTTATGAGCTAAAAACCTCAGTGGTGGGAGCAGCTATGAAACCCCTGCACACTGTGGAGAGGCCAAGATTTTCAAGAGTGACTAGGGATGTTGGGGGCCCCACTCAAAGGCACCTGATGTTCAGAGGCCAGGTGCTCAGCACTTCCCCAAAGTATATCAAATTGGACCCCAAAATAGTGAGGCTCCACAACTGCTAATCATTTCTGAGAATCATGGCCAAAAGGACCAGCACTGGCCAGGCCACCTGGACCTGAGTCACTGCCTTTCCCATAGTGTGTCTGTTCAGTCATAGCTGTGTCCCAGGGCTCACCTGGCGGGAGCTATGCTCCCAGCCTGGACGTTTGCTTCCTGTTAAACCTTTCCAGAGTAGATGCTGTTCCACGCTCACCTCCTTGCAAGAGAGCGTTGCTCTTTCATTGTTCCCGAAGTTCCTTGTGTTTCCTCCAAGTAAAACAAACGGCACCAACCGTCACTGGTCCTACCAAAGAGGGTTGTCATGGCTGTGGAAATGCTGTTGAGAGGCTGCTGGTTTCAAATAGTAGTTTTATTTGTTTGGTTGTCTGGCCAAGTAAAACTGCTCCTGGGGGTCCCAGAGGAATGGTCTACCTCAGGGCTCAGTTCTACCACCAACACTTTTCAACCTCTTCACAGTGTTCTTCCCAACATCATTGCCAAGGATTTGATCTACTCAGCAGGTGACCTCTGTCTAGCAGTGACCTCTGTCAAGCAGTACAGGACCAGCACTGTAGTCACCAAGACATTCTGAATGCTGACATGAGAGATGGCCCACTACTGCCGAAGATGGAGACTTAAACCTTGCACCAAAAAGACAGTTTCCAGCTGCTTCCATTGATGCCACATCGAGGCCAACAAACAGCTCAACACCTTCCTGAATGGACACTTCTGGACCACGACCTGAAGCCTGTGTATCTCGGTGTTTCAGTAGACCCTACCTTTACTTTCAAGGAACATCTCACCAAGGCCTAACTGAAAATAAAGACAAGAAACAACCCGATCAGCAAATTAGGTGATTCTACCTGGGGAGCCAATGCAGACTCTGCCTCATGCTATTCCATAGCAATGTATTACTCCATGGAGTATTACTCCGTTCCTTTCACACAGGACTAGCGGACACTCAGCGGAAACGAAAGCAGGGGTGTAATAATAGGTATCAAGACTGACCAACCTGGCCTGGCCATTGGTCCTGTCCAGCATTGCCCTCCAGACATCAGGCAACCAGTCACCCTGACGAATCTGCTCCTTAAGGTGCAAGACATGCCATAAGTACCCCATTTAAAGATTGGTTTAATCTACCGACCCACCATTTCAGTTCAAGGCAACCTTCTTGGACAATTCCGCAAAGGAACCTCAATATGCCAGGTGGCATACTACGTGGCAAGAACAAACTTCAAACATAATCAATGCCTATCTCCTGACAGAGCTTCCACACCACATTTAGGTCTCCCCTCCACTCCCCACAAGTTCTCCCAGACACTGCGCTCCCACTCAGACACCCTGGTCTCCCAGGCTCCCATTAATCAGATACAGCCACTAACATCACCGCCGAGTTCACTTCTAAGCACTGGCTTGCAATATAAAGTAAATCCAGACCCTTACAATAACTTATACATAGAAGCATTCTGTCCATCCCTGGATTAGGGTTTGAACCCACATCCTGCAGCACCACAGCACAGACCACTTCCATTTCTGCAAGAGGAGTAACTGGGACACCTGCTATCTGTGGACCATCCCATGCAGAGAGACAACATATACTTGGCCAGTGGGTTACCTCAGTATCTGTCAGGTGCTAAGCCTCAGGATTCTTGATTTCTAGTCCCACATTTGGGAGCAGACTGTGGTCTAGTGGTTATAGATAGCACAGCCAAATAGCACACTGGTCCTGTTTGGGTCATCTGGGCGGCCCTCTAGATGCAAGAGCAAGAGCCAGATTTTGGTGTGGCAATAGTAGGAGAGTTGTCACACTCTCTGTGGTCTAGCTGGAGGGCACCAGAGCCACAATACGTTGCTGTGGGTTACAAAAGCAAGTTTTCCTTCTGGAAGGCTTTGTGGCAAAGTGGAAGATGCTAGGCTTTATTTCAGTTAGAAACTGGGGTCTGTGCCCGCAGTGATGTTGATCTGTGAAATGGGTGAATGCTATTACAAGCCAAGGTCTCCTACCTTGGGGGTACCTAAGGGTCACGGAGGGCACAGAAATATTAGACAGCAGTCTGTGGAAGACCTGGGACTAGAACTCATGGTCACTCAGTTTACTGCATGTCCTACTTGGGGGACTCCCCTTCTGGTTTTACTTCCCAAAAGTTGCAGCTTGTCACTATCCCAAAACTGCCTGCTGAGGTGAGGAATCACAGGGCTCATGATCAATGCAGGAGAGCTGGCAAAACGGCAGTGGCCTGTTCCCCCCTAGAACACTGAACCTCTGCATTAAGTGCCTAGACCAGGGCCAGGCTCTGGTGGTGGATCATAGTACGGAGGGCAGTTCACAACCCCCCTCTCTGCCAGGCCCCACACCCATCCCTGGTGGTTTTAGCCCTTCATGGAAAACTCCTACTGTTGCTTCCCCCCTTTTACCTCCCGTCTGAGGAACCTGGAAAGCTCACGCTCCTGGAGGATTAGCAGTAACACGTAAATAATGATCTGTTCATTATTAATTCCTAAAATATTTAGGGTGGTAAAAAATTAAGGCAGATTATCCTCATTGGCAGTAATGTGCAGGTCATAAGCACTTTGGGAGGACTTTCCCTATTCTGGCTAATGCTGACTTAGTGTAAGGGACAAACCCACTGCTAGCCAAAGAAACATTTTAGTGGCCTCCAACTATCAATTAAGAAATAGCTAGATTTGCTCTGAGCCAGTCAACGTCAACTCCTTTCAAAAAACAGAACACATCTGTTTTGTCTACACTAAATGGTCACAAGATCTAATATGAATAGACACACGGGCATTAATTTACAGCTCCAAAACCATTTAATACTGCATGGAAGTGAGCTCATGAACCTGTCTGAGACACAAACTAATGCCAGAAGGGAGCCCCACTGTCCCCCCGGGGAGGCTGCTCCAGAACTTCACCCCTCTGATTGGTAGAAACCTTTGCCTAGTTTCAAGCCTCAACTTCCTGATGGCCAGTTTACAGCCATTTGTTCTTGTGCGAACAATGGCCCTTAACTTAAATAACTCCTCTCCTGCCTGGCATTTGTCCCTCTAATGTGTTTATAGAGAGCGATCAGATCTCCCCTCAGCCTCCTGTTGGTTAGGCTAAACAAGCCAAGCTCTTTGAGTGTCCTCACATGTCACAGCACGAATGTTACAACTTGGACGCACACCAAGGTTAGACACTAGACGATTGGGCTCGAGGTCTAGCCCTGGCTAGCAGGTCTATTTAACAGCACCAGGATGGTGCCAGCCTCTTGGGAGAATTCAGCTGCACCCAAACTCTGTCCAGTTCAGCTCATCTGCAGCCCCCTTGCACAGGGGCCAGTTCAGATTGGAGAATTCAAACCCACTTACTTTCTCCCCCGACCCTCCAATTTCTCAGGGATTTGGCTTTGAGGCTGCAGTTTTGACTCCTCTCAAGTGGAAGATTTAAACACTTGCAGCCTGGGGAACCCCCCACAGCAGCATCTTGCTAATATCTAAAAATCACCAAGCAGAACTGCGGGGTAGGGCAGTGGGCTAGGAGTGAAGAGACTGGGTTCTATTCTCAGCTCTGCCGGGCGAGAAACACAGGCCAGAGACCTGCCCCAAAATAATTCCTAGAGCAGATATCAGAGAAACATCTAGTTTGGATTTAAAAATAGTCAGGTATAGAGAATCCACCATGCCAGAACCTTTGGTAAACTGTTCCACTAGTTAATTACTCTCACCCTTAAAAATGCGTGCTTTATTTCCAGTATGAATTTGGCTAGTTTCAACTTCCAGCCATTGGGTCGTGTTACATCTTTATCTGCTGGATTGAAAAGCCCATTATTAAATATTTATTCCCCATGTAGGTACTGACAGACTGATCAAGTCCCCCCTGAACCTTCTCTGAGCTCCTTGAGCCTGACTTAATCTGTTTATCATGTTTTCTAATCCTCGAATAATTTTTGTAGCTCTTCACTGAACCCGCTCCAATTTATCAACACCTTTCTTGAACTGTTGATCCCAGAAGTGGACACATTATTACAGCAGTGGGCACACAAGTGCCAAATATGAGGAAAAAATAAACTCTATTCCTACTCAAGATTCCCCCGTTTATCCCAGAATCGCATTAGCTCTTTTGGCCACAGAATCACTCTGGGAGCTTCTGTTCAGCGGATTATCCACCATGACTCCTGACTCTGAAAAAGAGTCACAGGACACAGTCCCCCAGGCTGTATTTATGGCCTATATTCTTTGTTCCTAGCGGTAGACATTTAGCCACATTAAAATGCACACTGTTCGCACCCCTGGTTTACGGGACTATCCAGCATATCCTGCGCCATGGCCCCTCTGCGTGCAGAGGGAGAAGGAGCGAAGCCTGCTGAGCGCCCTGCAGCCAGCAGTGCCTGCCTCTGCCTTGCCTCAGAAAGGGGCCCTGGCTCACTCGTGCCCTTTGCTTGGATTTCTTTCCTTGCACCGGCCCTACTGCTTGCAGCTGTAGATCACCTCCTCCTGCATGCACTGCTGGCACTCCACATAGCAGCACCACCGCACTTGGCAGTGGCAAGAGAAGGTGACCATCCGGCTCTGGGTATTGTAGCCTCGCCCACAGCACAGGCCGTCACAGCTGGCCTCCCGGGAGCACGTCCTTCCGGCAGTGCCTAGCGAGTATTTGCTGGGCCGGCAAAAGCTGGGAGAGTCCTCCACGTACACCAGATCTGTGGGGCGTGGAGTAGCTGGGCTGCTGTGGGAGTGGCTGTGCCTCTGCGTGCCCACGAGCTCAGAGTGCCCCACAGCATCATTCGTGGCACTGAGGATCTTGACAGCATCATCATAGCGCAGCTTGAGGATCCTGCCAGTCTCGTGGAAAGGGGAGAGCTGCTTCCAGCAGGTCCTCACGGCACAAGAGCCTGAGACACCATGGCACTTGCACGTGGTTTTGAGACCATTCTTCACGGCCTGAGGAGGAAGAAACTCCAGTTAGTATTTGCCAGGACCATGGGCCTAGCTCTCGGTATAGATAACACTGCACGCTGCCCCTCCAGAGGATCTCAAAGCACTTCCATGCGGGATGCCAGTCCTGTGTTACAGATAGGGAAACTAAGGCGCACCAAGAGGGGACATCATACAAATGTTTCAAAGGGTGGAAAATGCATTAGAGTGAGAAACTGACAGAGCTCAATCAAAAAGAAAGGGAGAGGTGACTTGATTCAGCAGCTAGGGATCTTCACAGAGAGAAAGCACAGGTATTAAAGGACACTTGAATCTAGCGGAGAGAAGCAGAACAAGAACCAGTGGCTGGAAGCCGAAGCCAGACAAATCCGAATGAGAAGTTAGGCCCAAACTGAACAGGGAGGGTGATTAAAACTGGAATGAGCTACCAAGGGGAGTGGTGGATTCTTCATCTCAACATCTCCAGACCAAGCCTGGAGGCCTTTCTAGAAGATGCTTTAGTCAAGCAAGTTACTAGGCTTGGCACAGGGGTGACGTTTAATGGCCTGCGATGGCTGGATGATCTAATGGTCCCATCTGGCCTTAAACTATGAATCTATGACAAGCCTGGCCCAAGGTCACAGCAAGGCAGCAGCTGAGCTGCGGTTGAAGCCAGGAGTCCTGACTCCCAGCCCCTTTCTCTAACCACTTGCCAGCCCTGCATCTCTAGCCATACTCAAAACCTGAATGGCCACATGAACACTGACTGATTTACCAAGTGCAGAGTCATACGCAGACTTCACAGCTGTCACTATGCTGCTGACAGGGGGCACTCAGTTTCACAGCAGTGGGCATACAGAAATCACTTCTCTCTATAAGCACAGGCCCCTGCCACCTGAGCAAAAAGGAGAATTTTTGGTTAACTCTCAGTAGCACAGGGCCTATGCCACAGGTAAGCAGTTCTGACTAGTCAGAGGGGCAGTGGCCTCTCTCCCTCACTGCACCAGTTCCCCTGTAGAAAACATGATGGCACAGGATAAGTCAAGATGTTTGCATCTGATCCCTGAACCCTTTCTGGGCCATGTGCCCTGCCCCCTCACCTTGATGCCCACGTTGGTGTTGTGGATATCCACCTTAGCCCGCAGGTCTTTGCCAATTTTCTTCTGGCCCAGGAATTTTTTAAGGAACTTGGTGCTGTATTTGAGGTTGTCGCCACACACTCCCCATTGCCAGGCCTTACGATTCTCCAGATCTGGAGAGTCATCGCAGGTGCAGCGCTCCATTCGTCCAGCGCTGCACGCCCTGGCCAGGGAGTGGGTAAGAGCTGCAGAGGACACTGCATACAGGAAGGCAGTTTCCTTCAAACCTGCACAAGATACAAAGGTTGAGAGGGGCTGGGAATGAGGAACAGGCATTCACACACATCACTGGGCTCTCTGCTGTATCCACACAAAGAAATACTGGGCCCTATTCTATGGAGAGAAGGGATGGTACAGTTTGGATGGCCTACATCTCAATCTTCTGGGTGACAGACTATCATGCTCCAGACTAGCTTAGCGCAACGAGCAACAGGAAGGGAGGGTGCTAATGGGGTAAACACACAATCATAACTCTGACACTGGGTATCATGAATGTAAAGAACCCAGGTGTCAAGAGACAGAAAGGAAAGAGGTTCCTCAGGTGCCCGTACATGGATTCTAGAAGCCTGGAGGATAAGAGAAATCACAGACATCGATTTATAAAAAGAAGTTAGACATCACTGATATTCCTGAAACTGAGCAAAATGTTAGTCACTGGACACGCTGGGTTAGAAGATGCATAGAATCCAAGGCCAGAAAGGACCACTGATCATCTAGTCTGACCCCCTGTATGACCTAGGCTGGAGAAGTTCCCCAGAAGACTCCCCAGAGCAGATATTTAGGAAAATCATGCAATCTTGATTTTAAAACGGTCAGCAATGGAAAATTCACTATGACCCTTGGTAAATTATTCTATTAAAAATGTATTCTATTTCCCATCTGAATTTGGCTTGCTTCAACTTCCAGCTCTTGGATCAGGTTAGAGCTTTCTCTGCCAGACTGAACAGCCCATTATTAAATAACTGTTCCCTATGTAGGCACTGATTGTAATTTAGTCACCCTTTAAGTTTTTGTTAGACTCAGAGCTCAATCTATTGAGCTTATCACTAGAAGGCAGGTTTTCTAATCCTTTAATCGTTCTTGTGGCTCTTCTCTGAACCCTCTCCAATGTATCAAATTCCTTCTTTAATTGTGGACACCAGAACTGCACACATATACTGGCTACAGTCACATTAGAGCAAGATACAGAAATAACATCTACTCCCTACTCAAGATTCCCGTTTCCTCAACCAGTACAGAGCCAGATTGCTGGTATGTAAAATTAAAAAGGTCAGAGGAGTTTTTATACTAAAGGGTTTGGAGAAAGCCAGCAAGTGCTGAAGAACACACAGTTCAGACAGACATACCCATTAGTGGAGGATTTATTAAAGGGGATGCTCTATATTCAAGTAAGAGGATAGCATAGAAGTTGAAAAAGTACAGGTAGGAACTGAAAAGAAACATTCAAACAAAAAGAAAAGGAGTACTTGTGGCACCTTAGAGACTAACCAATTTATTTGAGCATGAGCTTTCGTGAGCTACAGCTCACTTCATCGGATGCATACTGTGGAAAGTGTAGAAGATCTTTTTATACACAAAGCATGAAAAAATACCTCCTCCCACCCCTCCTGGAGAGTGGGGTGGGAGGAGGTATTTTTTCATGCTTTATGTGTATAAAAAGATCTTCTACACTTTCCACAGTATGCATCCGATGAAGTGAGCTGTAGCTCACGAAAACTCATGCTCAAATAAATTGGTTAGTCTCTAAGGTGCCACAAGTACTCCTTTTCTTTTTGCGAATACAGACTAACACGGCTGTTACTCTGAAACCATTCAAACAAAAAAGTCAAATTCAATTACACCACATGAAGGCGGACAACTAAATACTGACAAATTTTCTAAGTGCTTCTATACCTATGCTAGATGTCTAAATACTCAGATGGGTGAACTGGAGTGCCTGGTATTAAATAAGGATATTGATATAATAGGCCTCACAGAAACATGGTGGAATGATGATGAGTGGGACACGGTAATACCAGGATGCAAAATATATAGGAATGATTTAGTAGGTTGTGCTGGTGGGGGTGTGGCACTGTGTGTGAAAGAACGCACAGAGTGAAATACAGTATAAATCTTAAATTAATCAAACTGTACCATAGAATCTCTAAGGCCAGAAATTCCATGCTTGAATAAGAAGAGTACAGCAATAGAAATATGCTACCGACCACCTGACTAGGTGATTCAGAAGTGTTGAGGGAGATTACAAAAGCAAAAACCAAATAATAATGATGGATCTCAGCTATCCCAATGCTGACTGGGTATGTGTCACCTCCGGATGGGATGCAGAGATAAAATTTCTGGATACCATTAATGACCGCTTCTTGGAGCGGCTAGTCCTAGAGCCCACAAGGGGAGAGGCAATTCTTGATTTAGTTCTAAGCAGCACACAGGACCTGGTCCAAGAGGTGAATATAGCTGAACTGCTCAGTAATACTGACCTTAATGCAATTAAATTTAATATCCTTGTAGGGGGTAAAATACCAAAGAAATCCACCACAATAGCACTGAACTTCAAAAAGAGGAACTCCACAAAAATGAGATTTGTTGAACAGAAATTACGAGAAACAGTCACAAGAGTGAAATGCCTGCAAGCTGCATGGAAACTTTAAAAACCCTCCATAATAGAAGCTAATATATTACTATACCTTACTATTAATATACTAAATGTATATCCCAAGTGTAAAAAAAAAAACAAAAAAAACAAAGAAACAGAACCCCCCCCCCAACCCCAAAATAAAATGCTACCTGGCTAAACAGAGTAAACAAGGCAGTTAGAGGCAAAAAGAAATCCTTTAAAAATTAGGAGCCAAATCCTAGTGAGAAAAATAGACAGGACCATAAACTTTGGCTAGCCAAGTTTAATTTGGCAGACTAAAACAGAATTTGAAAAGCCAATAGTAAAATACATACAAATCAGGAAAAAAAAAGCCTAACTTGAGTACCACGCAAACTGGTTGAAACTACTGTAAAGGACAGAATTATCAGACACACAGATAACACGATTTATTGGGAAAGGGTCAGCTTGGCTTTTGTAAAGAAAAATCATGCCTCAGCAATCTATTAGAATTATGGCAGTGGGTCAACAAGCATGTGGACAGTAGTGATTCTACTGATAAGTGCCTTTGGATTTTCAGAAAACCTTTGACAAGATCATACACCAAAGGTTCTTGAGCAAGGTCAGCTGTCATGGTGTAAAAGGAAAGGTCTTATCATGGATCAGTAGCTGGTTAAAAGAAAGGAAACAAAGGGTAGGAATAAATGGTCAGTTTTCATGGTGGAGAGAGCTAAATAGCAGGGTCCCCCAAGGATCTGTACTGGGACCTGTGCTTTTCAACATATTCATAAATGATCTGGAAAACAGGGTGACCAGTGAGGTGGCAAAGCCTGCAGACAATATAAAATTACTCAAGATAAATTTAAAGCAACCTGCAAAATGTTACAAAGGAAACTCTCAAAACTGGGTGACTGGGCAACAAAATGGCAGATGAAGTTCAATGTTGATAAGTGCAAAGTAATGCACATTGGAAAACAATCCAAGTTATACGTACAAAATGATAAGGTCTAAATTAGCTGTTACCACTCAGGAATGGCCTTGGGGTCATCATAGATAATTCCCTGAAAACATCTACTCCATTTGAAGCAGTGGTCAAAAAAGCTAATAGAATGTTAGGAACCACTGGCAAAGGGATAGATAGTAAGACAGAAAACAAAGCCACAATAGAGTCACTAACTCAGAAAGTGCACTCTTTGTGATTAGGGAGATGGTTATATGTTCTTCCCCTCCCCCGCCACTATTTTCTATCATTCTGGCACACATTTTATGCACCAACTTCTTTGGTTTTTAAGTAGAAAATACTGTACAAGGAAACAACCTATCTAAATATTTAATAGCTGCTTTCAACTACCTGAAAGGGGGTTCCAAAGAGGATGGCTCTAGACTGTTCTCTGTGGTAGCACATGACAGAACAAGGAGTAATGGTCTCAAGTTGTAGTGGGGGAGGTTTAGGTTGGATATTAGGAAAAACTTTTTCACTAGGAGGGTGCTGAAACACTGGAATGCGTTACCCTAGGGAGGTGGTGGTGGAATCTCCTTCCTTAGACGTTTTTAAGGTCAGACTTGACAAAGCCCTGGCTGGGATGATTTAATTGGAGATCGGTCCTGCTTTGAGCAGGGGGTTGGACTAGATGACCTACTGAGGTCCCTTCCAACCCTGATATTCTATGATTCTAAATACATATGAAACAAGCAGAACTTAAAATATAAATCAATACAGGTGACTTTAAATATGTAGAATCTGTTTGACTCACACAAGGTTGTACTTAGATTTATGTGGCCCTACTGTGTAATAAGGCTGAGCACCACTGTCCTAACAGATAAAGGGGAACTGATCACAGAACTAAAAATTAAATGGTAGCTGGGGTACAAATGATCATGGCTTGATCACATTTATAATGTGCAAGCAGAATAAATTCCAGACAACAGGATATAGATACTTGGTGCTTTAATAGGGCCAATTTCACAAAGGTGAAAACAATTATGAGCCAAATCAGCTGGAAGGAACAATTTAAGAACAACGTTGAATGACATTTTTTGACCAAAACTTTTCAGCGGAAAAAAAAATGCAGATTCAGGGTCACTGAAACATTTTGCAAATCTGTGTCAATTTCACTGAACAGATTTGGTTGAAGAAAAAAAAATCTCAGTAAATTTCAGGAAAAAAAAATCAAAGTGTTTTGTTTTGCCAATCAAAAAAATATTTCATTTGCAATAAAAATGGTCTGTTCTGAAATTTCCTTTATTCTAAAAATTAAATGTAAAAAATGCTCAAAATCGAAACAATACTTGTTCGACCCAAAACAAAGTTCTCAACTTTTCAATTTGCCAAACATTTTGAAAAATTACAGTTTCGAGTCATCCTGAAACAATTTTCTTCAATTTTTCAGAATTGCCATTGAACCAAAATAAGACCTCTCTGACTCCCCCAGCGCTAGTAAAGGATAAATAATGGCATCGTAATTAATAACCTGCATGTTTTTATAGAAAATAGGTCCTGTTAATTAAACTTGATACAGTTCTAAGGCAGTTACAAATTCAATTGACAAAAGCAGACATTGGACTTAGTCCTGCATTGCATTCTGAAAGAAAAAAGAATATCAATGCAGCATATATTAAATTGATTAAAAACTGGCTAACTAAATGGGTGTTTCTAGTAAGATCCAACAGTGACCTGTTCTTGAGCAACTACTAGTCAAGATTTTCTTCGTGATCTGGAAGACAGTCGAATATCATGGCTGGTAAAATATGCAGACAACTCAAACTGGTGGAATGATGAATAATGGTGAGGATAGGTCATTCTACAGAGCAATCTATATCATTTGGTGAGCCGTGCTTACGTGAACAATGTGTTTTAATACAGCGAAAATGCAAGGTGAGACATCTTGGACCCAAGAATGTAGGTCACCCTTATGAGATCCTGGAAAGAGGTGACTCGGAAGAGGATGAGGGGTCATTGTGGATAGCCAACCGAATACGAGCTGTGGCTTAGGGAGAATGCAAACTTTGGATGTTTAACATAGGCATGGGAATATCGAATAAGATGAAGGGGTTAGCACCATGGCATATAGCATCAGTGAGACCATCACTGGTCTGTCCAGTTCTGGTGTCCATGGGGCAAAAACAATGTTAAACTGGAATAGATGAGAAAATAGCTACAAGAATGATTTAAGGTCTGGAAAACCTGCCTTATAGTGAGACTAAAACAGCTTGGTGTATTCAGTATAGCCAAGAGAAGGTAAAGTAGTAACTTGATTGTAGTCATGTACCTACCTGGGGAAAGATTTCTGATAGCAGAAGGCTCTTTAATCTAGCAGATAGTTTTCTAATTTTCGACCGGAACACCCAGTCAAAAAGGGATCCTGCTGGCTCCAGTCAGCACCATCAACCGGGCTGTTAAAAGTCCAGTTGGTGGAGCAGCGGGGGCCCATGGCTAAGGCAGGCTCCCTGCCTGCCCTAGTTCCACGTGGCTCCCAAAAGCAGCCACCAGGTCCTAGTGGCCCCTAGGCCAATGGGCAGCCACAGAGGCTCCACACGCTGCCCCCGCCCCTAGTGCCGCTCTGCAGTTCCCATTAGCCAGGAACCATGACCAATAGGAGCTGCGGAGGCGGCACCTGTGGGCATGGGGGCAGCATGTGGCCCGTGCACATGGCCAATTCCTGGGAGCCATAGTAAGCACCGCTGGGACCCCATACCCTAACCGCCTGCCCCAGCCCAGAGTTGCCTCCTGGACCCCAAACCCCTCATCCCCGGGCCCACCCCAGAGCCTTCACCCATAGCCACCACCCCCACTCCAACCCCCTGCTCCAGCTCTGAGCTCTTTCCCACACCCTGAAGCCCATACCTTCCCTGCACCCCAACCCCCTGCCCTAGCCCAGAGCTGCCCCCCCAGTCCGCACCCCCAGCCAGAGCCCTCAACCCCTCCCACATGCCAACCCACTGCCCCAGCCCAGTGAAAGTGAGGGTGGGGGAGAGCAAGCAACAGAGGGAGAGGGGATGGAGCGAGCAGGGTGGGGCCTTGGAGAAGGGGCAGGGCAGGCGTGTTCGGTTTTGTATCATTGGAAAGTTGGCAACCCTCCTAGCAGACAAAGGCAGAACAAGGTCCAATGGCTGGAAGCTGAAACCAGACCAGTTCTAACTATAAATAAGGCTCATATTATTTGTAAAGTATGCTAATTAATTATTGTAGCAACTTGCCTTGGGATGTGGTGGATTTCCTTTTGCTTGGGGTCTTACATCAAGACTGCATGTCTTTCTAAAGGATGCTTTAGCTTGACCAGAAGTGATGGGTTTGAGGCAGGAATCCCTGGGTTAAGTGTTATGGCCTTGTGCTGTGTGGGAGGTCAGACTAGATGGTCACAGTGCTTCCTTCTGGCCTTAAGAATCTATGAATCTACCTCAGAGGGTGCTAAAGGGGATGGTGTTGCCAGAAGTGCTACCTTGTAGATTAAATTTACCTGCAGTCCTGACTGTTTGGGATCACTAAAGCTTCCATGGCACCTGCAGTGAGTCTGAGTGTTAACCTTGGTGCCCAATTCCCATTTTCCTTAATTATACTGCCTCCTAAAGGCCTCTGGTCGTTTCACTTGGAGATAGGATTCTTCCACACTTCCGGTCCAAAATTATTCCATAGCATGACTGTGCAGCTGTTCCATTTCTGCCAGGCTTTGCCCCAGAGGTGGTTGCATTTCAGCTATAGTCAAGCTGATGTGTGTTTGTAGAATGCTTTTGAGATTAAAACTTTTTCAAGGAATAAAATCATCTATAATCAAGGATATCTGTCTGCCCAGTGATCATAGAATCATAGAATATCAGGGTTGGAAGGGACCTCAGGAGGTCATCTAGTCCAACCCCCTGCTCAAAGCAGGACCAATCCCCAATTAAATCATCCCAGCCAGGGCTTTGTCAAGCCTGACCTTAAAAACTTCTAAGGAAGGAGATTCCACCACCACCTCCCTAGGTAACGCATTCCAGTGTTTCACCACCCTCCTAGTGAAAAAGTTTTTCCTAATATCCAACCTAAACCTCCCCCACTGCAACTTGAGACCATTACTCCTTGTCCTGTCCTCTTCCACCACTGAGAATAGTCTAGAACCATCCTCTCTGGAACCACCTCTCAGGTAGTTGAAAGCAGCTATCAAATCCCCCCTCATTCTTCTCTTCTGCAGACTAAACAATCCCAGTTCCCTCAGCCTCTCCTCATAACTCATGTGTTCCAGACCCCTAATCATTTTTGTTGCCCTTCACTGGACTCTCTCCAATTTATCCACATCCTTCTTGTAGTGTGGGGCCCAAAACTGGACACAGTACTCCAGATGAGGCCTCACCAATGTCGAATAGAGGGGAACGATCACGTCCCTCAATCTGCTGGCAATGCCCCTACTTATACATCCCAAAATGCCACTGGCCTTCTTGGCAACAAGGGCACACTGCTGACTCATATCCAGCTTCTCGTCCACTGTCACCCCTAGGTCCTTTTCCGCAGAACTGCTGCCTAGCCATTCGGTCCCTAGTCTGTAGCTATGCATTGGGTTCTTCCGTCCTAAGTGCAGGACCCTGCACCTATCCTTATTGAACCTCATCAGATTTCTTTTGGCCCAATCCTCCAATTTGTCTAGGTCCCTCTGTATCCTATCCCTGCCCTCCAGCATATCTACCACTCCTCCTAGTTTAGTATCATCCGCAAATTTGCTGAGAGTGCAATCCACACCATCCTCCAGATCATTTATGAAGATATTGAACAAAACCAGCCCCAGGACTGACCCCTGGGGCACTCCAGTTGACACCGGCTGCCAGCTAGACATGGAGCCATTGATCACTACCCAGCTTGGAGTGATTAAGCATCCTATTTGCCACATTATGCACATTTACAAACCATGCAGCAAGCTCTGTGCTAGAGTGAGCAGCCAAAATGTCACGGCTTGCACCCACTTATGCCAAGGCCAGGTTTGGTCCTGTATGTTCATAGGGCAGGCTGACGTTCTGGTTCTTAGAGCAGCGGCTCAGCCCTCAGAGCCCAGGGACAGAGGGAGGCAATGTGATTTTAAGCCACCTTTGCGGTTGTCTAATTCTAGGCTGATGTGATCCCTGGGGAACCTAGGCAACCCAAGCCTAGCTACCTGCGGGCAGCAGCACTATACAGAATTACTGCCAAGGCATCTGCTAAGGCCCCGCCCCTGTCCCAGACATGCACACGCCCCTTTCAAAGAGGGCCTCATGACAGCATGCACCGGTGTTACTCAGTTCTTGCATTCTGGGGGTGGGAAGGCAGAAATCTATTATATTGCCAGAGCAGGAAGGAGAATCCCTCTTCAATTCTAAGGTCAGCAGGGGCCATTATGATCACCTAGTCTGACGTTCTGCAGAACACAGGCCGGAGACCTGCCCCACTAATTCCTGCATCCCGCTCAGCTTCTGGTTGAGCTGGAGCAGATCTTTCTGAAAGAGGCCTCCACTCTTGATTTAAAGACTCCAAGTGACAGAATCCACCACATCTCCAGGTACGCAAATCCAGTGGTTAATTCCTCCCCCGGAACAACTGGCACCTTAGGGCTAGTCTGAATTTTCCAGCTTTAGCTTTCAGACATTGGATTTTGTTCTGCCCTTTTCTGCTCGTTTAAAGAGTCCTTGGCTGTCAGGAATCTTCTCGTCTCAGTACCTGTGGTGTGTGATCAAGTCACCATTTGGGTAGGCAATGAGCACATGCACTCACACACACACACACTCTTAAGGTAAAGATTCAGGGTCTGATCTCAGAGGTTAAGGGACCTTTCACCCCGCAGTGACTGGTTCAAAGCCAGCCCGGTTAGCAGCTGCTCTTGATGGCTCCTCTCAGGTGGTCTGTTCAGTAGCCTGCATGAAAGGACTCTAGTCTCAGTCCTGCTCCCAGGGGTCAGAAATCCACATTACAATAGCTGTCCTCAGCAGAGGGGCCAAGGATGGAGTGGACCTAGAGAGTGGGCTGAAACTCAGTGGCCTGGTCACTGCCTGTTCTGTGGGAAAGAGCATCATCCCTGCCCTCTCGCCAGCTCGACAGTCCCAGGAAAGACTCACGCTCTCTAAACTAAAGCCTGGTTCCCTGCCCTGCTGAGGCCCAGCTACTGCCCTAAATGGGATTCTGTACCAGAGGCCAGCGCTGCTGCGTACCTCGCTTCAAGAGGCTGGTCCGTCCGTCCAGGCTGCAGTTCCAGCGCTCACCGAGGAACTGGTATTGGCACTCCATGACGCTGAGCCGGACGGCATCCCGCAGGGTCTCCGCCAGCCCTGGCTCCCGCTGGCAGAGCCTTTTCTGCTTACGGGACAGCTTGAGCAAGTCACACTGCTTCAGGTGTGCCTTCCCCTGGGCAGGGTTCGTGGAGGGGCCCAGTGAGGGAAGATGGGTCAGACCTTCCTTCCCGGTCAGGCTGAGAGGGGAGAAAGGGAGAGAGGTGAGCCCATGGACCGTGGCCAACAGACTGCCTGGAGGGAGCTTCCGAAAGCTGTCAGTGAGAACGTGGCTCAGTTACCACCTCAGAGAACTGGCCAGTAGAGCTGGTGAAGAACTGATTTAAAAACTAAAAATAATAATTAAAAATAATTGGTTTGGGTGGAACCAAATGCGACGCTGGCGAATCAGAATGGTTGACAAATGTCAACCATTTTGTTCAACCAGAAATTAACAGATTCGTTTGATTTTTGGGCACTTATTCACATAAAAGCAAAGGGCTAGAGTCACAAAACAGCCAGAAGAGGAAGTGACATCACCAACCACCTTATAATCTTTAGCCCAATGGTTCAAGCACTCACCTGGGCCATGGAAGATCCCGGTTCAATTCCCCCATGTCTGATGCGGAGAAGGAATTTGGACTTAGGCCTCGCATGTTGCACGGAAGTGGCCTATCTACTGGGCTAAGAGGTACACTGGTGTGTGCCTCTCACTCTCCTGTTGAAGCAGTTCCACTGCAGATAAATAATGCAAGGGTCACTGGAGCAGGCATATGAACATGGGTCTCCCCACCCCCACGAGCGTGCCCTGACTGAAGAGTCAGCTCCGCTCTCTCTGGCCCAATGACCAGTCAAGTGTTTTATACAGCTTCAGCAGGAGAGACAGAGAACCTGCCCCAGAATAGCCAACAGCTCAGAGGTTCGGGCACTTTCCTGCAATGTGGGAAACAAGTTCAGATGCCATCTCCGCATCAGACAGGAGGCAAATTGAATCAGGGTCTTTTCCGTCCTGGGTGAATGTCCCAGCACTAGGGTAAGAGCTGTAAGTAAGAAGGCAGCCCCACATTTTCTTCTCCAGTTTGGGAATGGTGCCCACTTCCCTGACATGTTTAACCAACACTTTTTGGCAAACTCACATCAGATTCACAAATTGTTTCGAGTCCACTGAAAATGCATTTTTCAGGTAAAAATGATTCACCCAGCTCCCCAGGCCACTGCAGCTCAAGCCACTAGCCCATCAGATCTGGTGTGCCATCTCCAGAACTGATTAAGGCCAGTACAGGCCCTGATGGGCCAATGGCCTGATGCTGCAGAGTAAACAGAAGGTACACACCCCCATAACACACCCATCATCACCCACTGCAGAGCACCAACAGGGAAGCTTCCTCACAGGCCTCTAATGGATCAGGTTATGCATCAAGCCTGCAGCTCAAGTTAGGATTGCCAATTTTGGTTGGATGTATTCCTGGAGATTACATTATATCACATTGATCTTTAATTCCTGGATATGCCAGGACAATCCTGGAGGGTTGGCAACCCAAGCTCAAGGACCTGTGTTTGGCATACCCAGCATTTTCACAATCACACATTGTTTGTCTACATGCTCATAGACCGGTTACTGCACGAGGATGTGGCAGGTTGCTACATGTCACAATTCATGTGACTGTACTTACTCATAGGCATATTGATCACATTGACTGAGGCCATTTGTAAACCTCTACAGTGCTGCGATAGGATATGGCCAGCATGAAAGAAGAGACTATGGCTAAGGGCTGTCCGGACCCTGCTAACGAGCCCAGGGGAGAGTTCCAGGGTCTCTCAGAGTCTGCCAATAAGGGCAGCGAGTGCTTTATAAATACCTGGAGTCCCAACAAGTATCTCCAGCCGACATTAACCCTTGGAGATTCCAGAATCATTGTACACGGCCGGTCAGTCCGAGCTTCCCTCTCCGCTCCTGCCCCCAGAGCACAAACCCTGCTACATCTCACCAATTCCCAGACCAAGCCTCTGCAAGGTCACTCAACATCAGCCAAGCGAGCAGCTGCTGGGCTCACCCTTGGGGGCTGCACAGCAGGATCTAAGCCATGAGGTGTGTCCACAGAAACTAGCAAGCTGTGCAGCAGCCTCAGCAGCATGGACTCAGGCAGGGGAATGATAGCATCTGCTCATGGATGAGGAGTTTCAGGAGTAAGCATGGAACACTCCTTCTCAATCATGGCCCAGAGCTCTCCCTGGCAGCCAGAGGGAGACACTAGTTAATCATTAAACTGGGCTGGGAAACTGGTAAGTTTCCAGTCTATCAAACCCAAAGGTCTTTCTCAGCAGCAGCCTAGGGAGAGAGCATTCTCATCTTTACACAGTCACCCACGCTCCTTCCTGCAGCAGGGTCCCTCAGCAAGCTTTGCCTTTGCCAAGCAGACTATCTGGCCAGGTGCACGCGTTTCCCCGACAGAGGAGACCCTGCATATACTCCAAGATTACTGACACAAACAGTGGGAATTCCAGAACAGTGAGTACTATGGGTATCCACCCCCCATCCCCACCATCAAGTTCTGGCTCAGCACAAGCACAGAGCTGTGTTAACCTGTGGAACTCATTGCCACAACATGCCAAGTCAAAGATCTCATTAAGTTTTTTTTTTTAAAAAAGGGATTAGATCTATAGGAATATCTTCCTGAATTATCCCAGCTAGGATAGACACAGTAGAGGGATATCAACCTTCATGATTTAGGGCACAAGCCAGGGGTTAAGAGCAAGCATCCCCCATGGACATGTTACTGCATAGCTATTCATTAATTCAGCTTTTACATCTTCCTCCAAAGCATCTGAGAGGCTATTGGACTGCAAGGACCATTGGTCTGACTGACTATGGTGCGTATCTGGCCCCTATTCCCCACAGGACCTGAGCACCTCACAGTCTCAGGGTATGTCAGCTGCACCACTGTACACACAAGAGCGACAGAAGGGGCTTTCCACCCTTGTAGTAAAACCGCCCCGGACCTAGCAGCATCTACAATGTGGGCTAGGTCAAACTAACCATGTTGCAAAGGGCATGACATCTCCCACAGCCCTGAGCAATGGAGCTAGGCAGACCTAAGTTGTACATGTGACCTATGCTTTAATGATTTGTCCACCCAACGCCCTGCGAGGCAGGGCAGTGCTGTTCTCCCGATTTTCAGATGGGAAATGGAGGCAGAGTCTAAGCAACTTGCTCAAGGTCATAGAACCACAGGGCTAGAAGGGACCACAAGGCTCATCTGGTCTAACCCCTTGCCAAGATGCATGATTTGTTGTATCTAAACCAGCCAAGGCAGATCCAGCCTCCTTCTGAAAAGCTCCAGTGAAGGAACTTCCACGACCTCCCAAGGTATCTGTTCCATTGTCCTATAGTTCTTACAGGGAGGGAGTTTTTCCTGAAATTTAATCTAAATCTGCTCTGCTGCAGTTTGAACCCATTGCCTCTTGTCCTGCCCTCTGTGGCAACAGAGAACAACTTTTCTCCATCTTTTTTACAGTAGCCTAATATCTGAGGGTGGCTACTTTTCCCCGCTTAATCTCCTTGTTTCCGAACTCAACATACCCCGTTCCTTCAGCCTTTGCTCATATGGCTGCATTCCACCCCTCTGATCATCTTTGTCACTCACCTCTGGATCCTTTCCAGTTTCTCTACATCCTTTCTATACATTTATAACCAAAATTGGACACAGTACTCCAGCTGAGGCCTAACCAGCACTGAGTAGAGCAGAACTATCAGCTTCCATGACTTGCATTTTTAGGTTGCATTAACAGAGGCATAGCATGCATTTGCTATTTTTTGCAACAGCATCACATTGTTGACTTATGTTGAGGTTGTGATCCACCACAACTCCCAGATCCTTCTCAGCGGTGCTGCTGCCAAGCCTGTTATCCCCCATTCTGTCTTTGTGCGTTTGTTTTTTCTTCCTTAAGTGTAGCACCTTACATTTATCTTTGTTGAATTTCATTTTGTCGTCTATAGCTTAGTTCTCCAATTTATCAAGATACCTTTGAATTTTCGCTCTGTCCTCCAAAGTTTTTGCAACTCCCCCTAGCTTTGTGTGATCTGTGACTTTGATCAGTATATTCTCTAGTCCTACATCCAGGTCATTAATAAAGATGTTAAACACCACCAGACCCAGAACCGAACTCTGGAACCCCACTTGAGACCTCTCTCCAATCTGACATAATTCCATTAATAGTTACTCTTTCTTTGTGGATGTTAAACCAATGATCTATCCCCTTAATGATAGTTCTACCAAGCCCCCATTTCTCCAGCTTTCTTAGGAGAATAGCATGGCTTTTGACACAATCCCACATGACAAAGCCCAGGTATATTATGTCTACCACATTCCCCCAACCACCAAACCGGTTACCTTGTAAAGAAAGAAATCAAGCTGCTTTGTTCACAGTAAATACATGAGGACTCCATCATCCAGGTATTCGTAAATTGAATGTTTTGTACATTGCTCTAGGAGCTTCCCAGGTACCAAGGTCAGGCTGATGGGTCTATAGTTCCCTGGCTCTTCCTTTTTAAAAGTCACACAGGAAGCCTGTGCCAGAGCAGGAAACTGACCCTAGATCTCCCAAGATCACGGCTAGCTCCCAGCTGTTTCTATGCAATGGAACAGCCACATGAAAGGAGTTTGCAAAAAGAAAAGGAGGACTTGTGGCACCTTAGAGACTAACAAATTTATTTGAGCATAAGCTTTTGTGAGCTACAGCTCACTTCATCGGATGCATTCAGTGGAAAATACAGTGGGGAGATTTATATACATAGAGAACATGAAACAATGGGTGTTACCATACGCACTGTAACGAGAGCGATCAGGTAAGGTGAGCTATTACCAGCAGGAGAGTGGGGGGGGGGGGAAGAAACCTTTTGTAGTGATAATCAAAGTGGGCCATTTCCAGCAGTTGTCAAGAACGTCTGAGGAACAGTTTGGTGGGGGTGGGGGGAATAAATATGGGGAAATAGTTTTACTTTGTGTAATGACCCATCCACTCCCAGTCTTTATTCAAGCCTAATTTAATGGTGTCCAGTTTGCAAATTAATTCCAATTCAGCAGTCTCTCGTTGGAGTCTGGTTTTGAAGTTTTTTTGTTGAAGAATTGCCACTTTTAGGTCTGTAATCGAGTGACCAAAGAGATTGAAGTGTTCTCCGATGGGTTTTTGAATGTTATAATTCTTGACATCTGATTTGTGTCCATTTATTCTTTTACATAGAGACTGTCCAGTTTGGCCAATGTACATGGCATAGGGGCATTGCTGGCACATGATGGCATATATCACATGGGTAGATGTGCATGTGAATGAGCCTCTGAGTGTGGCTGATGTGATTAGGCACTATGATGGTGTCCCCTGAATAGATATGTGGACACAGTTGGCAACGGGCTTTGTTGCAAGGATAGATTCCTGGGTTAGCGGTTCTGTTGTGTGGTGTGTGGTTGCTGATAAGTATTTGCTAGAGGTTGGGGGGCTGTCTGTAAGCAAGGATTAGCCTGTCTCCCAAGATCTGTGAGAGTGATGGGTCGTCCTTCAGGATAGGTTGTAGATCCTTGATCGAGAGGTTTTAGTCGGGGACTGAAGGTGATGGCTAGTGGCGTCCTGTTATTTTCTTTGTTGAGCCTGTCCTGAAGTA